CCCTCGGAGTTCGCCTCCATTCTTCATTCTGACACTTCCTCCCAACAGCCACTAACGAGACCAAGAAGTGGCGCTGCTTCTTTCCGGAGTACTCCCTTCCGTTTGTCCGATCGCCCTTCTTCATCCAACTCATTATTCGACGTCAAGGCCCTCACACTTGGTAACGAGCTGCCAGCAAGTAACATGACATACGCTTATGAGTGTCTACAGGAGATTATGGATATGCCTAACCTGAGGCAGTCCATTCCAAGCACGCCATATAAGGATCTCGCATTTAGGAATACGAATAGGAAGTGTACGCTCCCTGCAAGTAGGGCTGTGCTTGCTTACTCACAGAAAATGTGGACGACCATAGGTTACATGGAGGATAAGAAGCTGAAGGCTTTCCTTGCTTGGTCTAACAAGCATGGGATAATGGTGGACGGTGCTTGGGCCACCATGAAAGAAAAAGGGGTGTTTTTGCGTGATGCCGTAGCGAATTGGTATTTTTCTTAATAAATATATGTGTTGTAATCTTAACTTCAACATAAAACATTGTTCACGGTTTCTAACCTGTAAGGAATTTTCTCGCTATTCCTTCCTGCGACCGTCAACATCGCGTACAGCCGCAACCGTTGTTCGCCCGTTATAGCTAATGTCAACTTCGCGCGCACTGTTTCACCAAACCTCGCACTGCTGGGGGTGATTCGAGTCATTCGAGTACACTGTGATGCCATTCGGGTTGACCAACGCACCGGCAACATTTCAGATGACCATGAACGAGGCGTTTAGGCCACTTTTAGATAAATGCGTGATAGTTTACCTCGACGACATCCTAGTCTACAGTCGTGATAAGCAGCAGCATTTAGCAGATCTGGAAGCAATGTTTAACGTTTTAGACAAGCACCGACTACTGACCAAGGGTTCCAAGTGCGAGTTTTTTCAGGACAGGTTAGAATTTTTGGGGCACGTCATTCCGGAGGCTGGGGTTGAAATCGACCCAAAGAAGCTCGACACGGTCAAAGCATGGCACCCCCCGACAAATATCACGGAGCTGCAGAGTTTTTTAGGGTTCGTGAATTACGTGCGTCGGTTCGTCCCCGACATGGCGAAGTTAACAGCCCCACTGACGGATCTGCTGCGGAAAGGGGTCGCTTTTACGTGGGGGGAGAAAGAGCATGCTGCCTTCTCTGCCCTGAAAACTGTTCTCTGTTCACCACCCGTACTGCGCATCGCTGACCCACACCGCCCCTTCGAAGTAGTAACCGACGCAAGCGACATCGCCATTGGAGCCATACTGCTACAGGATTTCGACAACGGCCTACAGCCCATCGCATACGAATCACGAAAGCTGCATCCGCCCGAGAAAAATTACCCGATACACGACCGCGAAATGCTCGCGATCGTGCATGCGTTCAAAGTCTGGCGCTGTTACTTGACCGGCGCAGACGTGACAGTACGGACAGACCACCGATCCCTACAATACCTCCGCGCACAGCCCCACCTCAACCCACGACAGATCCGCTGGCTCGATTTCCTCGAGTCAAATTTCCACTACACTGTCACCTACAAAAAGGGAGCATCCAACATCGCTGACGCACTGACCCGCCCCACTGCCCAAATCCACGCGATACTACTCGCCCAGACCAGCCCGCTACTGACAGGACTATTTACCCATGGGTACCAAACAGACCCATTCTTCACAGGAGGAAATTCGCAGCAGTTCGCAGCAGCCAAAGGCGTCTATTACGTAAAAGCCGGGACCGACCGCATCTGGGTACCAGGGTACACACTGCTACGGGAATTACTGTTACAGGAGGCACACGACGGAGTTACCTCGGGACATTTTGGGGTAGAGAAAACACGGCAGCAGCTGCAGCGGTATTATTACTGGCCCGAAATGTTGGCCACGTTCAACGACACGTGGCATCGTGTCCCACTTGCCAGATCATGAAGTCATCACGGAAGCGGCCGGCAGGACAGTTGCAGCCGATACCACCCCCAGAGCGTGCTTGGCAGCAGGTGACGATGGACTTCGTCACAGGGTTACCGGCCGGAGCAAGTGGGAATGACGCGATCCTGGTCGTCGTCGATCGACTGACGAAAATGGCACACTTCGCAGCATGCAAAAAATCAATCACAGCCGAAGAAACAGCCCGCCTCTTCATCTCCACCATCGTTCGACTGCACGGGATACCAGCATCAATCATCAGCGACAGAGACACGAAATTCACCAGCAACTTCTGGCGGAACCTGTGGCAGCAATTCGGCACGCGACTGCAGTTCAGTTCATCATACCACCCCGAGACCGACGGACAGACAGAACGGACAAATCAGACCATGGAACAGCTCATCCGGGCCACGTGCGACGACCCGACCACGTGGGAACAGCAACTGCCACTCATCGAATTCGCGTACAACAACTCGCCATCCGCCACGACCCAACAGTCACCGTTCTACCTGAACTACGGACAAGACCCTACAGTACCCATGACCCCGAATCCCGACAACCCAGTCCCACGCGCGCAACAGTTCGCAGAAATACTGCAAGCAGCACGGACCCGAGCAGCTGAAGCAATAAAAAAATCAAACATCATCGCTAAACGCAACGCTGACCGCCACCGCCGACCTGTCACTTACCAGCCGGACGACCTAGTTCTACTCGACACTCAAAACCTCCGCCTGCCCATCACTCCAAAACTCCGCCCCCGATATTGCGGGCCATTTCGCATCAGCCACATGATCACACCCGTCACCGCCCATCTCCTCCTCCCTGCTGACTGGTACGTCAGCCCGTCATTCCACGTCAGCCTGCTTCGCCCATACGTGCCATCCACCAGCCAACTGCCTCGCAATCGCCCCGCCAGCATGACACGACCACCGACTGAGCCAATCATCACGCCTGAGAAAATACTGAGCCATCGAGTACGTGACCCACGGGGAGCCCGCAGAATCGAATTCCTGATCCGCTGGAAAGACCGAACGCCCACCGAAGACAACTGGGTCCCCTTGGATAGAATTGACAATCACCCTGTCCTCACTGAGTATCTGCGCAGCCGAAACTTCCGAGATGTACACGCGCTCTCATAAGAGGGGCTCCTTGGGGAGGGGGGTAGTGTAAGGAAAATTCCTTTTCCTTACTTCGCGTCCCTGCTCAGCGCGTACACCACTGTTCCCACCCACAGCACCCAACAGTAATCCGTTACCACTCGCGACACTCGCTTCGACACCATTCCCGCCACCATTCACGACGCGACCCAACCTCACGGTTCGGTTGGTAACCCGCGCTCCGGACCTCCGCCTCGACACTTTCCCAACCTCGGCACCAGGCCCGTCGCGCACCCCATTTTTCACACATTACCGTTACCACTGTAGTTTCGCTATATATTCTTCGCTCATGCCTTCGCTCATTGTACTCTTGCTTCGATAGTGCAATTCTCACTCGTTCGCTCAATTGCACTCGTAACAATGCATCACTGAATACGATGTGGTGCTCATTCAGCTGTTTCTGTTTCTCATTCGTTATAAGTGTTTTTCTTACATCGGGAGGACAGGCAACAGAAGCTGGCATCGTGCTGGGAGCTGAAAAGACTGACTTGATCAAGTGCTACGGAGTACACGTTTTTACATGCATCAACAGACTGCTCTAATTCGAATCCTATCCTCTTCTCTTTACTTCTCCTTTTCTGTGTGTGTACACGTGATACGCCTCGCAGCCCAAGATGCTACGAGCAAGTGGAAGTGTTTCTTTCCCGAGCATGCGACCAAGTTCATCAAGTCGCAAGTCTTCATCGTCAACTCGCTCTTCGACATCAATGCCCTCATCCTCGGTAACCAGCTTCCCCCCATGAACCGAAGCTACGCCCACGACTGCATTAACGAAGTTATGAGTGTACCGGATCTGAAGAAAGAAATCGAGGCTAATACTACATCACCTCAAGACCTTGCAGCACAGAACGCAAATAAAAAATGCACATCTGCGGAGTCGCAGGCGATGATTGGATTTGCACAGCAGCTGCAACAAACAACAAGGTCGTTGAAATCAGCCAAGTTCAGCAGTTTTATAGCATACGCACCTAATCATGGAACCATCAACTACGAAGCCTGGAACACGTTTGTTTCAAATGGTTTGAGCTTGAGGGAGACAGTAGAGAATTGGTACTTTGGTTCTTGATTAGGAATGATTGTTATTACCGTATAATGACTTGTACCGTCATACCCCGGATCAGGGCTGATTTTATCAGGGTAATTACCCTGATTTCAGGGTGATTTCAGGCTTCTCACCTTGTGATCCCTGTGAAATCAGGTTTTTCACATTTTGGTCCCTGATCCATTAAGAGTATTGATTTAGCGGAGCCTGAAATTCTCAATACACTCTCAGTGTAGTGTTTTCATGGACCCTGTCAATACAGAGTACGCGACCTGTGGACCCTGAAAGTCATGTTATCTGAACGAAGCTTCGTAGAAGCTTCGTTCCGATACCCCCCCATGTGGGTAATTATGATTCGCACGTAACCATGTGGGGGCTTCGTTTCACGCGCACTAGTGACAAGAACCGACACAGAACACAACTGTCATTTGTACAGCAGCACAGCTGTCAAATTTGACAGCGCACCTAGAATCATCATGTTTACTGCCACGCGCACCGTGCAAATCACAATACGTGTCCCTCATTGGAGAGAGACACTTAGTGGCTGTCGTCGCTGGCAGTGAAGCAGTCGTTCAATGTATTCGGCCTGCATCAGGGCCTCAGATTCGTTTTGGGTGACCCTGAGCACTCAAGGTCCTTTGGGGCTGTAACACTGATCATCAGGGTTGTAAATGGAGAAACACTGATTTCTCAGGGTTAGAAAAAAAAAAACCCTGACACATCAGCGTGAGTTTAAAAAAAACACTGGCGGTGAGAATCCACAACAACTATCACAAGTATAATAAGTTAAGAAAAGTTCAAATATGGTTCTAATGAGCTTCTAATCTAACTACAGGCACAGACCACTTGGCGCTCACACCGCACACACAATTCACATCACACACATGTCTTCATCTTCGTCACTACCACCACCATCGCTCATAGAACCGTGCCTGTGCACGGGGGTCTCTGTCCCCCACCCAGAGCCAGCACCACCAGCATCATCCTCGTCCACCTTCTCTTTCCCCTTAGCACTAGGTTGCTTCTTTGGTGCTGCCACTGTTGTGATGGGCTTGCGCTTCTTGTACGCCCTCCAGATCTTCACCACCTCCGCCCAGTCGGGCTCGTACGGCAGCAATGCCATGCACATGAGGTCCGACAGCCGCGCATCCTTGATGGCACCCCTCAGCCAGCTCTTGATGATGTTTTGACGCGAGAACCCCCGCTCGCACTCGACTGTGCTCAACGGTAGCACAGCGACAGCCATCCACAGCTTCACCAGGTTGGGGTACGCGTCCTCCCAGTCAGGAGACTTCAGCATCGCCGAGAGACCCGGGTAGAACTTTCTCTCGGACTTCGGGGCTCCAGCGAGAACCGTGCAGAACGTGCGGAGCTCCTTGAACGCCTTCTTCTTGTTGACACCTGGAGGGAGTCAGGGAGTGCGCAAGCACAAGGAAAAGAACAAGGTAAGCAAGGCTCACCAGACAAGTGGTGCCAGTGTTTAGGTGCTACACAACAAAGCAGCACAAACAACGATGCACAGACCAAAGAGAAGTACGTACCTGGAACGATCTCGTCGCACTCTTGGGCCCTGAAGAGCGTCGTGAGGGACTCAAGGTGCTCCGTGCAGACCATGGAACGCTCCTGCCGTCCATGGGGCCACTCGTCGGGCATGAACAGCTTTACACCGCTCAGCTTGTCGAGTGAACCCAATCGCTCATCCAGGTTATGCACGAGCGCCTCCGCCATCGCCGTGCACTGCTCCACGCATCGCTCATGGGTCCCTGCAATGGGGTAGCCTTCAAGGGGGGAATCATGCAGCACGTAGCAGTGAGAAGTGGGCCGGCCGTCGGAGTCAACCCACTCGACCTCCACTCTCCGCACCCCATTCGGTCCATGTCGTGCAATGAAGGGCGACAGCTTCTCGCTCAGGCCGCCGCCGAAGTCGTCGCCACAATCCACATAACGGCTGTTGATGTGGGTTGTCGTGCGACGGATCTGGCCTTGAATCGCCAGCAGGTCAATCTGCCACACAAAAACAGTAGGGAAAGCACAGCCAGGTTTCAATCATGAAGCAGAACTAGCCGTAGCTAGCGGCCCTAAACCCACAGTCCTCACGGCACACAGGGATGCACAGGCAAAAGCAGGATCTCACCTGTCGATGCTGGAACGTCTTGCTGAGCACGTTCAGCTGTTCCAGCACGTCAGCGAGGAAGCGCAGCATGAACTGGAATCTGTAGCTGGTCACCATCTGGTACATGGGCTTGTTTCCCAGCTCGTGCACCATCACGACGACCCCCGGAAGGACTGCAAGAAGTCGGCAGACTGCATCGCCGCGTGAGAGCCAACGCACATCATTGATTCCTTGGAGCTCCAGGTTAGTCTGAGTGAAGACTTCCTGAAGGTCCAGGAAGCGCTGGTGCCAGGGTCCTGATGAGCCGAGGTAGGTGGAGAGCCAGCGGATGAAGCTGTCGACCATGCCAAACTCCGGTAGGGACTCTGCCGCGTCCTTGGCCGCGAGTGCTTCCCTGCGATTAAAACAAAAAACAGTCGCATTTGGTTAAGTAGAAGGAAGGACACCATGTTCAAATAACAAATACCAGTCGCATCGGACACTGCATCAACCACCGTACCTGTGAGCGATGCAGTGGCAGGACACCAGATGCGGAACGCGCATCCTCAGCCTCGCCACCAGCCCGTTTTTGGATCCGACCATGACGCTCGCCCCGTCGGTGCTGATGCCCGTGATTCGGCGCAGGTCAATGCAGACGGCATTGACATGGGATAAGAGCAACGCCACCAGCGATGCGGCGTCTGCCCTGTCCACGGTTAGGAGGGCAAAGAACTCGGTGACTACTGCCCCGTCGCGGATGAATGTGGCATAGATGATGAGATGCTTCCCACGACATCTGTCCGTAGACTCGTCACAGCTGAGGCCGATGTGGTGGCTTTGTAGGACGTGTTCGAGTTGTGTTGTCTGCAGCCACACGGCCGTTGCCTGTGTTAGTTCCCCAAAGCCGTACCTGCATAGACACCGAACATATTTGTTAGGCTTACGTGGTTGTGAACAGGAGAGGCTTTTAATGCATGCGCTCGTAAGCACTTACGTGGTGTAGTAAGTGCCGTATCCCTTTTTGGGAAAGCCGCGGACCTCGTTCTGAGCCATGTAGCGAACGAGGCGCATCCACGTCTCCATCGGCAGATGGTTCTGGGTGGTGAAGTGAAGGGAGTTCAGAAGGCTGATGACGCGGGTCGTCTCGTCATCTTTGGCGAGCGTATGCTCGTCAATTCGCGGCTGCTTCCCAGCCTGAGCTAGCATCTGCTTCTGGTGATTGATGGCCATCTGGTGCTTGTTCGTCGCGGCATGCCGCTTGAAGGCTTGGGTCTGAAGATCGGTTGCACCGTGCCCACTCTTGCCACACTTGCCACCGTCACCTGCAAAGTCGATGCACAATCTGCACTTGAACGCAGGCATGCCAGCAGTGTTTTTTATGAGGATGAGCCATGGGTAGTCGGTCGACCACGTCGACTTGAACGTTTCAAGGGCCTCTTCGTAAATCAGAGTGGTTAGTGATGGTTTTTTAGAGTTAGATGGCGTGGGCGTAACGTGGTTTACCGACTCGCCGGCATCAGCGAGAGGACGTCCAGGATCTGTAGGATCGGCCCAACGGAGCACGGCCTGATTGTAACGAGGCGGAGGCTTCGACGACGACGCACGAGATGGCAAGCGGACGCTCGGTCCGGCTGCTGACGGCACGGCCGGCTTAGCAGTATGCGCGGGCTGGGGACGATCGTCTCCGCGGCAGAGGCCAGACGCTTCACCAGTGTTTGCTACTGAGGCGACGGGACCTGGCTTCTCTTTTTCATGGGAGAGCGCGGAAACTAGAAAATCTAGTCCCGTTCTGGCCTCCAGCATCTCGGTGGCGGCGTAAAGTGCATCGTCGTCATCATCACCGCAGCTGTTCTCACCGGTGATCGCCATGGCGCGTTCACGTCACCTTCCTGAATCGGTGAGTAGTAACGAGAAACCCTGGGAGAGAGATTGCAGAGATTGATGTTTCGGGAGGTGATGGAGTCTGGAGAGCTGGCTTCAGGGAGACTGCAGAGATTGATGTTTCGGAAAGGGATGGAGTCTGGAGAGCTGGAATGGCAGAATCACGAGACCCCCTGCGTGGGGTGCCTGAGCGGGCCGCCCCAGCACGCCCTGCCTTGGTGGAAAGAACAAGGCAGACCACTGGCCCACTGGGCCACTAGGCTTGGTTGTTTGTGCACATCAATGGAAAGTAATGACAAGTGTAGGTTATCCAACGTGACAACGGTACATTGCTTCAGCTGGGACAGCCAATCTCTTTACGCGTTTTGCCAACACAGCCCGAAATTAACCCGTTCAACTGTATCTGGGCGCGCCGCAGGGTGGCGTCGGTGCAGGGTGGGTTCATGCATGATGACGGCGCGCAAAACTGCGAGAATCACGGAGTTTTCGGTTTCAGGGTCGTCTCCGATACAACACTGACTCGTCAGTGTCGACAAACTAGAAACACTGGAAAATCAGGATTAGGAAAAGAAAAACACTGATTCATCTGGGTTGTAAAAACAAAAAGGCTGATTCATCAGGGTTACAATAAAAAACCGGGGTCAAACATCAGGAAATCAGGGTAAAATTCCTGGAATCTGAGGCCCTGGACTCACGCCCCTTAGCACCTAGGAGCCGCTGTCCTTGCGTTCTCTCGTAAACGCGTGCAGCCACGACTGCGCCTAGACTAAGCTGAGCCGACGCCCCTCGACATGGCCGAACACATTGATGTAACGAGTCTCACGTAGGAGCATTTCAACGAACTGCTGCAACAACTTCGCGAAAGCTCTGAAGAAGTCGCGGCGCTGACGGCAGACATAACGCACGTCCCTGCAGAATGACGTTGCACGAGCACACCAAGCACATTCGCAAGCACTTGGCACTCCAAGACAATTAGTCCCACAGGCATCACAACACGGAAGTGTGGGGCAACCCGTGAGCGCGGACAGTGATGGCGTCGTCCGCAACGACGGAGACGACGACCACGGCACGACACACCCCGAGGCGACGAATGCGGCCAGGAGTCAACCCCGCGTCACGATTTCTGTGCCGGCCGACGAATCAACACTACAGTCGCCAATGCCGCTGAAGCCGCACCGTCTGCCATGCTTTGACCCGAGTCAACGGGGTGGTCCTACCGTTCAGGCGTGGCTGTTCACGTTGAATGTCTTCTTCGACGCCAACTACGTCTCGGAGGATACGGCAAAAATTCGCTACGCCGTGCCGTTGCTGCGAGGACCCGCCATGGATTGGTGGCGTGTCATCGTTACGAAGCCGATGGACTAGGCGACTCTACCGACACGGGAAGGACAAACCGGACCCTGGGCACCGTCGTATTTCGTGGAGGTGCCCCAATATCGCACGTGGGACGCGTGGTGTGCAGGTCTACGTGCCCGGTTCGAGCCAATTGCGGCTTCGATCGCGGCACGTCAGAAGCTCTGCACTTGGCGCCAACTCGGTTCCGTCCAAGATTACACCAGCGGGTTTCTGGCGCTGTGTGAGCAGGTGGGCTACATGCACGAATCTGAGCACATCGACCGCTACATCGGCGGCCTGAAGCACGACATTGCTCAGGAAATCCAGCTCCGCGGCGTCACCGATTTTCAGGAGATTCTCGCTATGGCGGAGAAACTCGATTTCTTCCGCCGACCGAGAACAGGGTCCTACGGAAGCAGCAGCGACTGGGAACATCGATCTCGTGGGACGAACGAGGGCGCCACGATACATGCCGTCGCCGTGAATGCCGCTGCCGCACTGTTCAAAGGGCGCTGCTTCGTGTGCAATCGGCCGGGATACCGCAAAAGCAAATGCCCGGAAAACGCTAAGGGAAAGGGGGAAGCTGAGCAGCATAAACAGACCAAGCAACAGGGAAACGCTGGGAGTCAGTAGCAGACGGGCCCTCTACTGACAGGTCACGCCGCTCGTCCGACCCAACCGACCCTCACCGAGTGATTGTGCCGGTTCACGCAATCGACCACACCCGACCGAATAAGGAGGGTACCACGGTAGACAGCCCCATACTGCTTAGTGGGAAAATTGGGACAACCTTAATTAAAATATTCGTAGACGGGGGAGCCAGCCACAGCCTGATCAACACTGCCACAGCACGGAAACTGAAACTGCCACTGGACAGATGTTTACATGAGATCGACGCAAGACTGGTTGACGGCACGCCACTGGCGATACGGGAACTCGTGGATCGAGTCCGGATTCGATGCGGGGGTAACTTCACGTTTAGCCAGGAAATACTCGCGACAACCCTCGACGGAACCGACATTTTACTCGGTCGTGATTGGCTGCGACGACACAACCCGCGAATCGACTTGACGACGGGTGACTGCACTGTGCGAGTGAATGGTAAAAACATCGCCTTACCTCGCTGGGGCTCGCCTGAGTCTTCGTCGGTGCGTGTCAACACAATCACGATGAAACACGCCTTAGCGGCAGGAGCTGACGTGTACACGGTCGACATTCGGGAAGCCGAGGCAGCAGACAAAGGGGGGGATTTACAGAAACTGCTAGCCAACGTACCGGATGACTTGGCAGCGCTACTGGAGCAGTACAGTGGGATTTTCCCGGATGACCTGCCGACAGGACTGCCACCTCAGCGAGCGCACGACCATTGAATAGAATTAGAACCGGGGGCACACCCGACAATACAGCGAGAGTTCCGACTGACCCAACCCGAAATGGACGAACTGAGCAAGCAGCTGGATTACCTTCTCGAGAAGGAGTTCATTCGCCTGAGTTCGTCACCGTTCGCAGCACCAATACTGTTCACACCGAAAAAAGACAGGGGTTTTCGCATGTGCATCGATTACCGCGCACTGAACAGGGTTACCATGAAATCCCGTTACCCCATCCGACAAACTGACCGACCAACTGTGCACAGCCCGGGTTTTCTCGAAAATCGAGCTTCGATGAGGCTACCACCAAATCCGCGTCAATCCACCCGACTACCTGAAAACAGATTTCCGCACACGCTACGGATCCTTTGAATACACCGTCATGCCCTTCGGTCTGACCAACGCCCCCGCCACTTTCCAAATGACCATGAACGAAGCGCTCCGCCCGCTTTTAGATAAGTGCATCATCGTGTATCTCGACGACATACTGATTTACAGCACCGACAGATCACAGCACCTACAGGACATCGAAGCAGCTTTTAAAATCCTGAGTGAGAGCCGCAACCTGAAAAAAGCCTCTAAGTGTGAGTTTTTACAGGACCGCATGGAGTTTTCGGGGCACGTTATTTCAGCCGACAGAGTGGAAATAGACCCGAAAAAGATCGCGACAATTGAAGCATGGCACACGCCGACAAATTTGACTGAGCTGCATAGTTTTTTGGGTTTCGTCAACTACGTGCACGGGTTCGTCCCCGACATGGCGAAGATGACTGCTCCGTTGACCGACCTGCTGAGGAAGGGGGTTGAGTCTACGTGGGGGGAGAAAGAGCAAGCTGCCTTCTCGGCCCTCAAAAATATTTTGTGCTCACCACCCATGCTTCGCATCGCAGATCCCCACTGTCCGTTCGAGCTCGTCACCGACGCAAGCGACATCGCTGTGGGAGCAGTATAGTTGCAGGACTTCGGGAACGGCCTCCAGCCAATCGCGTACGAGTCCCGCAAACTTCTGTCAGAATGTTATAGTGCTTACATTTGTATAGGCTATAGTGGGGTAGCCCATAAGGGCTACAACCCAATTAGGGTTAGTACTTGTACCCAACTGTTTCATAGTTCATTCATTCTCGTTCAGTATCCTGACATGGTTTCAGAGCAGGTCCTTCGCTAGAACCGTTTTTTTTTCCTTGGGCCCACCACTGCGCTGCCCCACTAGCCGCCCCTAGCGACCCTCGTGCCGCACCTGCTGCCCAGCGTGCCGCCCTCGTGCGGTCTGTCACCCCTAGCCCGGCCTGTTGCCCCTAGGCCCGTCGCCCCTAGGCCCGTCGCCCCTAGGCCCGTCGCCCCTAGGCCGGCCCGTCACCCCTAGCCCGGCCCGTAGGCCCGTCGCCCCTAGCCCGGCGTGTCGCCCCTAGGCCCGTTGCCCCGGCCCGTCGCCACTAGGCCCGTCGCCCTCGTGCGGCCCTTAGGCCCGTCGCCCCTAGGCTCCGGCCCGTCGCCCGTCGACCCCAGGCCCCGCGCGCGTCGCCCCTAGTCCCGGCCCGTCGCCCGACGCCCCTAGGCCCCGGCCCGTCGCCCGTCGCCCCTAGGCCCGCGCCCGTCGCCCCTAGCCCCGGCCCGTCGCCCGACGCCCCTAGGCCCCGACCCGTCGCCCGTCGCCCCTAGCCCCGGCCCGTCACCCGACGCCCCTAGGCCCCGGCCCGTCGCCCGTCGCCCCTAGGCCCGCGCTCGTCGCCCCTAGCCCCGGCCCGTCGCCCAACGCCCCTAGGCCCCGGCCCGTCGCCCGTCGCCCCGTGCCCGTCGCCTCTAGGCCCCGGCCCCGGCCCGTCGCCTATCGCCAGTCGCCCCTCGGCCCGTCGCCCATAGGCCCCGGCCCTGTCGACTGTTGCCCCTAGCCCCGGCCCGTCTCCTGACGCCCCTAGGCCCCGGCCCCGGCCCGTCGCCCGTCGCCCCCCTCGGCCCGACGCCCCTAGGCCCCGGCCCCGTCGACCATCGCCCCTAGCCCCGGCCCGCTGCCCTAGGCCTACCCGTCGACCCTAGGCCTCAGCCCCGCCCGTCGGCCCTACCCTGGCGCGCCCCGTCGACCCTAGGCCCCGGCCCCACCCGTCGACCCTGCAGCCCCGCGAGCCGCTCTTGCAGCCCCGCGCACAGCCCCTGCAGCCCTGCGCCCTGCCCCTGCAGCTCGCGAACCGCCCCTGCAGCCCTGCGCCCTGCCCCTGCACCTCGCGAACCGCCCCTGCAGCCCCGCACACCGCCCCTGCAGCCCAGCGCCCTGCCCCTGCAGCTCAC